CGTGGCGTTTTGGAAGGGTTTTGGTGTGCTTGTTAGCATGGCTCCAAAGAAACTGCAGAGCAGAAAATTTGCTTCAGGTTGTGACCAATTCGGGTTGCGACCAGAGTCACGGAACAAATTAAGTTCGTAACCCGAGGTACCAATGTAGTCCTCATTGCTGTCATAACCCCAGGATTGCGTGGGTCATTAAGCAGGAAGAGGCAGGAATCCAGGCAAGCAGGTTGGCAGGTGAGTGTGCGGGGGGGGATGCCATAGGAGGGTAGGGGTGCCATGGGCAGGCACTACGGTGCGCGGGTGGGTGCATGGGTGCTGCGGGCAGGTGCTACGGGGCATGGGCAGGTGAAAAAGCATTAGGAGCAGAAGTGACTTCCAACTTCCTGCTGGCTTCCCCGTTAACTTTGCTTTTCGGAAGCCGCAGAGAACGTCAGAAATCAAGATCACATGACCATGGCTCGCTGTTATGTTCTGATCGTGAGCTGGGCACCTGAGTGCCCAGATCACGATCATGTGACTGCAGGGACACTGTGATGGCCAGAACTCCAAGGGCTTGTCTCCCTCGTTCAGCACCGTTGTTACTTTGAACAGTCACTGAATGAGTAGTTGTAACCTGAGAACTACCTATACGCAATTATGCCATCACTGTGCCAGCAGAATTACAGAATCAGAAATGTGACATGAAATTACTTTATATATCTTTACACTGTAGCCTTTGAGTGGTAGATTGACTGAGATCGATAAAAGTCATTGTGGATTTCAGAAATTAATGAAAATCGTGACTCCAGAAATCTGTCCCACTTGGCTGTATTTCTAACTCACCTTTTCAGTTCTTTTAAAACCGTCTTTCCATTATGTATCCTGAGAACATTTTCTGCTTTGCTGGTTTACCATGTGGTAAATTCAATATTTGGGAAACCGAATCAAATCTACCTTCCAAAAGGTATTAAAAGTGCAGAGAAATGTGTTTCACTAATGTTGCATAGCCTCAGTAGTGTTAAATACTAACTATATAGTAAAAAGCGAATGTATTTATAAAATGCAGAATTGTTCTCTGGGAGAATTATTACACATTCCTTCCTAGCCTACATTGGTACAGTAACGCTCAAACCGGTTTCTCAAATCTTCTTAAAAAACAGCTAGATATTTAAATCACCTGAGGGTGCCAAAATTTAGAAGAGACTTGTCTTTACCCACTGTAGGAGGAAAGTCATGTTAGTCTATAGTAGTATAAAATCAGGAGCTGCATCTTTTCTTCATCAGATGCAGAGAGTGCCTAGATGGGTATAGGATTTAAATTGGGATGAGGTGGGGGGAAGGGAGAGCCAGGTTTCGTTATGCAAATGCAAGTTACATAATGAGACAGCTTACACATACCTTATCAAATAATAATTTCTTAAACTGTTCATTGAAATTAGCAATTGTAATGTGTTAAAAACCCATTGTGTTTATTGAGACCTTTTGAGATAGCCTGAAACCTTTTAATGTATGTAAGTTCAGCTATCTCATCAGTGGTATTGTAAAAGTTCCATTTTTTTCAATGGACACTTAATAGAGTGTCAGGGTCTGGGAAGTTTAAATACTCTACCTATAGATGATAGATTCGATGGCGTGTTCTGGGTGGAAGCTGGAAATATGTAGGTATCCATGGTGATTTGTAAGTTTCCTATATAACATGGTATTTATGTGTCTACAGATAGTCCTTGTTTAAAGACCACTTGTTCAGCGACCATTTGAAGTTATGACAGCGCTGAACAAGTGGTATTTACAACTGGTCCTAGTTTTGGCCATCCCAACACCCGGACTTGCGGTCATGTGATTGCTGTCTGGGCACTTGGCAACTGCTTGCACTTATGATGGTTACAGCGTCCTGCAGTCACATGATTGCCATTTATGACCTTCCCTGCCGGCTTCCCCAGAAAGTCCGTGGGGAAGCCGGCAGGGAAGGTTGCATGTGTGGTAAGTCACTTGCACTCTCCCCCACCCAGCAGCAGCCACTCACACCGCATCTCTCAGGCCTCTCGTGTACTCTCCTCTCCCAGGAGAAGCCAACCCTGGCCCCGCCACGCTTACACCAGGCCTCGTGGCCATCCACATACCCTCCCCCACTCAGCAGCAGCCACTTGCTGGTCTGCTTGTGAGCCACCTGGGAATTGCTTAACGACAGTAACAGGGAGTGCCAGGTTTGCCGTTGCTAAGCGATGCAGTCACATGACGTCGCACTTTACGACCGCATCGCTTAGTGATGGAAATTCCAGTCCCAATTACCGTTGTTAACCGGTAATGTATAGTTTTACTATGACATCAAGGAAACAGACTTGTTCTGTAGATAGGTCAAGGCTAAAGTTGATGGTGCAGTTTACTTGTTGAAGTCATGATGGAATTGGATGAAATACTAATTTCCATGGATTCAAATGAGGAAAATGTCATCAGTGAATTTCATGTTCTGTAAACGAGGAGCTTTGGGAGTAAGAGTTGAGAAAGTGTTGTTCTAGATCAGCCATGAAGACGTTGACATTGTGGAGCTATGTGTGGGCCCATGGCCACGCCACTGATTTGCAGGTACACCCTATTGCCAAAGGTGAGGTAGTTATGGATGAGTATACAATCTGGGAGCAAGGCATTGCTGTTTTGGTACAGTTCAGCGTGTTAACCATGGCTGTATTGGAAGGGAAATTTAACAATATGCCATATGCAGACCAGACTTTGTGTACAGAGTGGGAACACAGCTCACCTTTTTTTATAATGATTTTTATATCTGAGCAACTTTTATAACTCCCCTTTTAATCAAGTTCCCAAGCCACATAGATTTATTTTATCGTTACTATTTATAGTGTGACCAGAAGGACACTGTTTTCTTAAATGTTGCTATATTTTGCTTTATTGCTTATAGAACCTGACAGAGGTTGATTTCTTTGTCTTATTTTTATTGTTTTATTGTTGGTCTGCCTTGTGCCTTATTGCCTTATTTCTGGCTTTTGCTATTATAGTTTCACTGTTTTGCTTTTGCTTTTTTTTTTTTTTTAACTGAGATTTTCTGGTCATTGACCATAATAAAAAAATTCATTTTATTTCATTGCCACTTAAAATCTGAATTCTTCCTTCAGTTTGTTGTCAGCATGTCTTACTTAACTGATTGTGCACCTTTTATGTTATTGGGGTGCTATTTTATCTAAAATAGCTACAATCTAGATATTTTATTTTAGATAAAATAGATTATTATCTACAATTTGATCACAAAGCTTGTGACATTTTTGTAGTCAAATTATTTTTTTCCCCTTGTTAGTTAAGCAAATGTTTTTATTGGCTGATGCAGGCTCCATTACCTCTGAGCAGCTGAATCCATTTTCCTTTCAACTTTCATATTCATTTATGTTTTGTGGATAATAATGAATGTTGGGTGCTTCAGAAAAGGTAGTGTTCTCAAATCCAATCTTTATTACAGTCATAGACCAGCATAAAAAGGGAGTGTTTAGCCATGGTGGTAGTGACTTCTAGCAGTTGTATTTAATTTTGGATATGATTATGGGTTTGAGGATTTTATGAACACATTGGGTTGTCAAATACATAGAATTTCTGACAACTTAGGTTTAGTAAATAATTATTTGTAAATAAATTGTATTTTTTTAAAAACGGGCTACTGAATTAATTTACTGAATTTCATAGTGGTTATGCTGGGTTTCTACAAGTCTCAAAAAGGTTCAGTTTCCAAAAGTGAGCAAAATGTTTCGGCTGCAGAACTCTAGTTTTTATTTTAAAATGTATTATTTTAATTGATAAATAATAATCAAATGTAGAAAATTAATGTTTTAGAATACATTTGTGTATTCTAAAACAGGAGTGATGGGGAAATTATAAATTATTTCAATAATCTCAACTGCATCTTCCCAATATTAAAAACGGAGAGTACTCTGTTTCTCTTTTGATCTGAGAAATCAAAAAGCTTCAGAAGCTGAAGATCTTAGTTGCAGGGTCTCAGGATACCAGCAGAGACTTGACAGCTAAGTTAAACAGCAGCCATTCCAAGCTCTTAGGGAATGTGCACTTGAGCCTGATGACTGAAAAGTGACTGAATATCACTTTTATCCTTAGAAGGATAATTCTTTGATATCTGCATTGTGACTGCCCTTTGTCACATTCTGGAGTATTACATTAATTTGCTCTGATGGCTCTGTCTTGATTAGTAAAGTCTGTTTTGTTTTGTTTTCCTCTAGTATTGGATACCCTGTTGTGACTTTGGGCTTTGGTTTCAAAAGTTATGTCAGCTATAAAATGCGATTAAGAAAACAAAAGGAAGTGCAGAAAGAAAATGAATTTTACATGCAACTCCTTCAGCAAGCATTGCCCCCTGAACAACAAATGCTACAAAGGCAAGAGAGAGAAGCAGAAGAAGGTAAGTTCTCACTTAACATAGGCCTTGGGTAGAAGTAATGGTTTGCAGATTTGGAATGCATCTTATGAATTAATGGTACTTTCCCCTCCTCTTTAAATCCAAACCATGGCTTCTTGAATCAGGTACCACAGCACAGTTTAATACTGTTTAGGGCTCTGTCTCTGTATAGTTCATAACTTTATGTGCAGAGTTTCTTTGGAGACATTCCACCTGCCCTTCTTCTCAAGAAGCAGCTGTTGAAACTTTGGTCATACCCCAGGTTAGATGAATGCCTATGACTCAGTCTTCCTGGGAAAGAAGTTTGTGCCTTCTGCTGACAGCCTTTTAAAGTGTTGTGATTACACATGAATAAACTTCCTACCACCTTACTTCTGGAATCTTCTAGATAGTGATCAATATTACAATATTGTATGCATGCTCCTTTGCCTAGAAATGTTTTCAGTTCTCTAAATAATCAAAAAGGAAAGGTGAACAATCACTCTGAAAGGGGTAGGAAAGGAGTAGGTCCCTGATTCCTAGACTTTGCACACAGGTATGAGAGCCCCAGAGAGTTCACATTCTGCATGTCACCAATGTATGTATTGCAGAAAAAATTAATGACATTTAGAGTTCTCCATTTCTCAGGGGAAATTAAAGATTAGTAAATCAAGTCTTATTAAACTGATGGAGAACATGTACATTTTATGACTTAATAACTTTTCAGAGTAAATTGTTTAATATTTATACATTAATCATATTCAGTGTACTGATTGAATGATGGGTGTGTATGCTGCTTGATAGTACTGAATGAAAAGAAATTTGGTAATAAATATGTGAACCTAAATTAATACCCTGATCTGCGGGTGGGGTGTGTGGAGAGAGTGAGAGTTTGATCTATTAGTTTCACTGGACCTTACAGTAATTAAAAATTCCTAAATTGAGGCTATTGACAGATGAAGTTATGTTCCGCATTATGAAATGTGAAGGTAGAAGAAAAAGTGAAGCCATTTTTTAACATTCAAAGTAAGCAACTTTACAGTCGATTTTAAACAGCAGAATTGTCATGAAAGTCATGTTTAGCATTATCATACTGTGAAGAGTAAAGTCTGAAATGTCTGTAAATATACCCATAGTGAATCTTTTCGTGCTGGAGTATTGTTCTTTGTAAGACGCTGTGCAACCCCTTTGTAACTCTGATTATCCTATATTTATATAGAAGTTATTGGAGGCAATTTGAAAGGAATTTCTTAAATAATCACAGCTGTAGAATATGGGATATGGGTGAAAAAATATATTCACTTGGATTGATAAGCTTAAGCAAAGAATCCTGTAGCCTTTTGTGCCTTTAATTTAAATCAGATTAGAAAATTACATTGTAGCAGGGGAAAATACATATTTCTTGTTTTCTAAAAAATCTGCAGCAGTTCTTGATTAGTTCTATCGGTGATTTAAACATTATGTTTGATCCACTAAAATAATTCCCTAAACCTTCAATATTTAAAAATTTTCAGCATGTTCTTCTCTGCAGTAGCCCCCGCTTTTTGGAACATTCTGCCCCCAGAGGTGCGATTGGCCCCCTCACTCCTGGCCTTCCGTAAGGCTTTGAAGACCT